CACTCAATAACTACATTAATTATTATATATATGTTATTATCATATATAAGCTATATAACTGTTAAGTTTCATTAAAATCCATTCAGTATATTTTAGGTGAAAGAGTAACAGAGATCCATACAAACGTAAGATTGAAATTAAAAGCGCAAGTGGTTTATATACAACTTTAGAGCGTTGTAGATTCTAAACAATCGTATAAAATGAAAAATGGTGTTAGAAACCTAAACATGATTTTTGATTATCTAGACAGTGATACCCCACTCGACATATTTTGTCAACTTATTTTTTTTACTTCGTCACAATATAGCGCCTAATTTTACCCATATTGAATTTTGATTACTATCATATCTTTAGTAGCACTCACATGATTAAGACGAATCGATTGATGTATGAATCATCAAAATCGGTCAAGGCGTTTGGTCGCTAGTGTGCCACAAAGGAACAAACATACATATATAGACCGTTAAACACTATACCCTGTCTGCGCGTCGCGCTTCGCGCTCTTGCATTGCGCAGCCGGGTAAAAAGGAGTGCAATGTTTATAAGAGTTAATGCATGTATGTTTTATATTATATTCTATATTCCACCATTACTTCCAACTGATATATTACAAATAATGATTCTATACTAGCTTTGCCCCGTGGTGTTACCCGCGTTTTATTGGGGATATTTTTCCACTGTAAAACGTAGCCTATGTACTAATACAAGGTATCAGCTAACTCCATACCAAATTTTATTAAAATCGCTCCAGCCGTTTAGACCTGAAAAAGTAACAAACATACACACTCACAAACTTTCGCCTTTATAATTTTAGAGTGATAAAAAAAATACTTTCCGACAAATGTAGACATTTCGTACTGAAAAAATATAAGTATCGTAAATGTAAAAAACAAACACCATTATTATCAAACTGCTCACAATCCTCTACAAAAACAAAAATATATTCTCCCAATCAACTTATTTAGATGAATAAATTTGGGTCAATGAACCAAGTTTTGTACTTTTTTAACACAAATGCTGAATGTTGTCTCTCATCGACATATTGCATATTGTCACCTCACTAAATAGGCAGCTATAAACGTATATGGCGAGGGTTTCCCCTTTTAATTCTTGTGGCTACTGATAGGAATCGTAAATTTTATCCGCTATGTGTCATGTATCTACTAATGAAATATAAATTTTCAAATGTGTTTGTAGACTTTTAGCTCTTTGCTCATTAAAATCAAATCGAATTCAGATCAGCACCATATCGACTATCACTAGCTACGTCGTGCATCAACCGTAAACCAAACCCATGCAACCGGAGCATGAGGCTGATTATCCAACTTGAACTCTTTTCGCGTTCCCCTTCGAATCTAAAGAAATTTGTCAATGTGATATAATTATCTCATGCCCTACTGGAATCTATCTCATTCCATTCATAAAAGGAACGGGATCGAAAACAGAAGGTAACATAACACACACAATTTGGACTTTATCACCACTTAACATCAAGTGGGGTAGAGTCATTTGCCTAAAGTAAGCACTGTAAGGCTTTATGGGATACTAGGGTAACGGATAGAATACATATACTGTACATATTTAAGTATATTTATATAGTACAAATAAAAAAATATACTTATATATTACGTAAACCAGCGCAGACCATGACATAGTCCATGCAGGTTGGAAAACGGATGATATCATTATGCATGCATACTGACCGACAGCAACGCTACACGCGGCCAATGCAAATGGGAATTATTGTGTTTAACATCATGAACCTAAAAGCTAAATTAAAAAACAAACGTCACAGTAAGGTAGATAAAACCGTAATATAGTTATATCCCTAGGGATATAATTATATACTGAAGCATAGTTAAACGAAGGCACTTTATCACTATCTTACGGTCGCAATCTAGTAATATGTTTATCTGGCTAAACTAATCTGGTTAAATAGTAATATAGAATCAAATAAAACAATATATTGGTTTTTACTTTTATTGAAAAATATTTTTTTTGTAACCTTTAATTAGTTACAATACTTTTTAGGAGTAATATAAATTCAAGAAAAAAAAATCGATCGTATTTTATATTAAAGCATTGACAATACGATTGTGTAAAATTATTAATTTTAAAACTTGGTGTTTCTAAAATACTTAAAACTAATCAACAGGTTTGAGACTTTTTATTCTTACAAGACCCGGAATCATGACATCTGCACACCTAAAATTGTTTCAGTACACTGAAACAAGTAATAAAATTATATCACTAAACTTGAACCGTTATATAATTATATTCCAAGTAAGATAGTAATTTTTGCTTTCGTGTAACTATGTTACGATATATGGTTATATCCCTAAGGATAGTTATATTCCGGTTACAGTTTTATCTATCTTACTGCGACATATAATATATACGTAAGCACGCATATTATACGATGTGCTCTTTAAAATAAAGCTGAAAGTTCAGACTAAAGATCCATATATGATATGAGCCGCCGCCTAAACCCATTTGTTTATACATAGGTACTTACGTATTACAACTTTTGGTTTTGAATCCACTATTAATTTCAAAGCATGTTCGCCATTTCCCGGCAGAGTATTTTTTTCAGTGATAGACACTATTATTTGTTTATAATATTTTTCTTTTCGTTGTTTAAGTTTGTACTTTGATTAAGTAGTTAGATTAGAAGACATAATTGTTACGGGCTTGAGTTGTCCTGTGTACCTGTTATCGACGATTACAATCATGTTTAATAAAAATACGAATGTAAGTTCGTTATTTGCAAGATAAACTGGAATATTTTTTAAGGATGAAATAAGTAATATGTCTGGAAATTATTGAAGAACAAAATTTTAGTTTCAATCTTACTCACTCATTGTATTCATAATAATACCTACCCATTATCATAACAATAGTTTGGGCAATGGAATGCTGTTGCGACCAAAACTATGTAATATTGAAATAATTTACGCTGGTGATTTATTTTTATGATCTAACCGGAATATGACATTTTGGTACATTATGAGAATGGAAATGGAATGAAATTGAAATCACATCTGATAACATGCATATAGATAATAATTAAATAAAAAAATAAAAGATCGATTTAAAAAAAATATCTTAATACTATCTTAATACTTGCTCTAATCTAAGCTATTTGGATTTCTGTTCCTCGAATTTCGCAGATTCAGACAATATCTGGCACACGTTATTGATAACTGAGATCAAGACGGATCCTTTTGTTATTAGGTTTCCGTTTCTGTAGGATTATCTTAAAACAAACTAAGTAAATATGTTATGTATCTACAACAACAAATAGCTAATGTAAAAGTACAATGAAATATAGGAGCTCTCTATTTTATTCATCACCTAGGTATGTGTCGCCTTTTAAGTTTATTTTTTGCAACAAAAAGTAGCCTATCGTTTTCTCTCGAGATCCGCTTTATCTCAATACAAGGCGTGGAGGGGGGGGGGAGTGGGTCGGGTTACTTTTACGTTTATAATTATGTACCTAGTAATCGTTTAGATTGGTCCAGGAATAGATTTGACCACATTGAGTTTCCTAGAGATTTATTTAGAATTTAAAGTCCACATGGATGGAGGCACGTGCATATTCTAATCTAATAGACAATATGTTTTTCTGGATATTTTACACAGTTTTCATGTTTGTCACACTGCAGTGTGACAAACCCTAAGCGCAGTGCACTGCACTTAGGGCGCTTGTTAACGAGACGATTTCCATCCGGTTTCTACCCGGACCGGTGCCGACTAATATTGTTCACGAGCACTTGGTTTGTATTGTACTTTTGCATCGACCCCATACCGTCGTTAGCGCCGGCTTTTTTTGTTTCGGGGGAGCTGGAGTGTACATAATCCTCATTGGTACTCTACAGCCTATGGCTGCAGGGCTATGTCAGACTTTTACTGACTAAAACACACCAGTGGGGGGATGCCGAAAGCCATAAGATCCTTACGGTTTCGTCTGAGATCATCATGATGATGCAGACTAGCCCCAGTGTTGTTAGCCGTACTCCTTAGTGTGCCATACCTAACTGACGACCGGATGTAGACACGGTGTAAAACCGTGCCTAGAGCTGATAGAAAATCGTCTCGTTGACAAGCGCCCTTAGGGTAGTAACTAATCTACGCATATCTTCACCTTGCAAAATACAAAGACGTTGTTAAATAATACTTATTATTCATTGCTGTGTCATGAAAAGACTGCTAGAACTTTACGGGGTAGAGAAATTCGATTCAAGCCGGCAAGATAAAGTTGGTTGCATTTGTATGTAATCTTTTGTACGTTACGTTCCTCTCTTGCATTAGCTATATATTAATTCCTTTATTTGATGCATACTGATAGTGAATAGTTAATGGTGTACTGTACAGTTGTGAAGATAGCTGAAGCAAAAGAGAGGTAACTGCAAAACTGAATAATCGTGCACACCGGCCTGGTTCGAATTCTTCTACGCTGTGCATATATACTTTTTTAATTCGGAGATATAAAACAAAATTAATTGATCGTCATTAACGCCTGTCCACGATTATAGGGAATGGCCAAATTTCTTATAGTAGGTACATTTAGCTCGATACTTTACTACTTAGGTATGTAAATAAACTGCAAAACGATGACGTAAATAGGTAGGTAGACCATGTAAATATAGTAAAGCCTTTTTAAACACTTGTAAGACGCAATACACTTTTTAAGTGTATTGTGTCTTACTAATGATATAAAAAGATATAATCGTTAACTATATGTACCTAATTAATGCAATCTAACATCTGCCATCCCAGTCCAGAAACGTTTGTAATTTATTAATTCATCCATCACCATTTTATCCCATCATAAAACAATTATTAAGACTTTATAAAAATGTTATGAAAATCTCTTACCGTGTATACAGTAGATATATTAGCACTTAAACAAATTATTATTTTTGAAAAACTTATTGTTAACGTCTTTGTGCAGATCTATTCTCGAGTTGTCGATTGATTTTCTCATTTTTCTTATCTAGGATCGGCAGCAAACTTTGCCATTGAGGAAAGCACAGTATGACACGACGGATGTTGCAACCAACAACCATGCGCCGCTCAAGCGAGAAGCCACCGACAATCCGCCGCCCCCACCGCCGGTATGCACGGTTCTCTCTAATTTAACTATTATTCCCATCTGACAAAAGCAATGTTTAGTTAAATAGTTACTATTTCAAATTTTCAGATGCCAAAAACGAACGGAGAATCCAAAACAGTTACGAGTCAGAACTCAATCACGAAACCCTTTAATCAGGACGTAATAAGAGCCCCACATCTCCGAAATGGAACCCTTACTAGGACTCCAACACCTGATTATAATAATAAAACCGGTCCGGTACAGTCTAAACTAAACGGCACTAAGGATGAGAGAGCCGAACTGGAGTCTCTCGAGTCATACAAGTTGAAGAATCCGGCGAATGTATTACCAAAGCCACCATCAACCTATTTTATGAGAGCTCCTAATGGCACAGCGACTATGAAGAAGATAGCACGCCCAGTCTCTGTAACCATTGGAGAATATGCCAACGGAGGTAGGCGGGAGCCGATCAAGCTAGACTTTCTAAATGGCGATAAATCCGAGGGAACTAATGATGCCGGTGATGTGCCAATTACCAATAGGCTACAATCTGAACTAGCACTTACCCTATCTAGGTCCAATTTGCGAAAAAAGACTGAGGCCTTGGTTAGTACCTATATTATCGATAAAACTATTTAAAAAAGTATGATTGTGGAGAAAATTTATAAAAAGAATACGTTTAGGTCACTAGTGACTATTAATATCTGTGTAAAATGATAAAAAATATATGGTTTTCAGGATAATGGTATATCTAAAAGATATTTTTCTAGGGCTTCAAACGATGATAGTGATGCATCTATAGATAAAAATTTTCATGCCAGATATGGCAACAATATTCTTCCGCTGCCACCTTCAGTAACTATACCTAAAGTTACAAAGCTGAAGACCCAAGTCATCTAAATTACATAGTAATTGAGTTATAATTTCAAGAAATTCCATATTTACAACACTGAATCACGAATGTGCATGTTAAATATCATGGTAATTCACTGAGCACATTAATTTTGAATAATATAAAAATTAAATACTTGTTTTGTTTGAACGGTTATTTAAATCATTATAAATTATTGTTACTAAAAATGGAATCAAATTAATTATTTATTTGGTGAAGGGGTTTTCATCAATTTCAAATTTAGTTTAGTTACAAATTGTAGGTAGACGGTGGAAGTGGAAAATAGCTTTAAGTTCACTAATGCCCATTAACATTGTTCTTTTGTTTACAGGCTGACACAGGTCGATAGTTACTGCATCCAAGAAAAAAGGAAGCCTTTTGGTATTTGAAGTCAGCAATTGTAATGCAATTTGAAATTATTTCTAAAAAACCCTTTTTTTGACAGCTAAGACTTGGTTAGAATTTAAGTTTTCTACCAAAAAGTGAAAAGGTCAAATGTGTAATTTAATTTAAAATATTAAACAGTGCCTGAAGAGGACTTATGTTGAATTATAAAATATTATTATTAAACAATATTTATTCATTCCATATTAGTGCGTGTTTTATGAATTACTATGCGTATGTCCCGTGATTCACTTAATAGGATAATAAATGTATGATGTTGATTGTATGAATTACCTAAGTCAAATTATTATTGATAATAAATAATTTAATAAGTACCTGTGTCCAATTATTTACTTGAAGGTTTTGACTTGAATGGAAAATGGAATTATAATTATGCCAGAAATAAATAGTAATTATATCATATCTTAAGCTGGCAATTCAAATTGTTGTTGGTAATTGTACAATTGACCGTAGTCTCTCCTATCTGGATATCTACTACTACTGTCTCCCTGTGCAATTTTTATTTCTTTAAGCTATGGGAATGCTGAGAAAGGTGGTTTTTGTATCGGCGAAGGACCTTCCTTAGAGCCAAGGGTTTAACCACGGCTGTGTTTTAATCAGTAAGTGTCTAACAAAGCCCTCCAGCCGGCTGACGGGTATCCGTGAGAATTTCATAAAATCCCCCCCTCCGAGGAGCCTAGGAGAATACAAAAATAATAATAAAAAAAGGTAAATTTAAAAAATGAAATAACCCGACTGCTTAGATATTACTTCAATAATAAAAACTCAAAATAAAAAAAAACAAGTCCAGTAGTCTATAATTCTTTTAAGTAAGAGATAAAGCTACTTTAACATTCGGGACCCATTAGATATTCAAACATGGATAAAAAAAATCAATAATGGGTCCTGACTGTTAAAGTAGTTTTGTTTCTTACTTAACAGAATTATAGACTGCTGGTCTTGTTTTTTTATTTTCTGTTTTTATTTGAAGTAATAATTAGGCAGTCCGGTTTATTTGATTTTTTAAATTTACCTTTTTTATTTCACACTTTTTAGTTAGGATTATAAGACGGTTCCTATATACCGCAGTCTTATCACTTCAGTTAATATCGTGGGAATTATTAAGTACCTACCTTGCGGTGATCAATCCATTGATTTATTAAGACATATACACCAGGTTCAAGGCTACAGATGGGTCTCAATGTTCGCAAAAATGTGTGAAGTTAAATCAAGTCGTTACCTATATAACTCATGCCTGTATATTTTAAAGATAATTATTACTTAATCAAAAAGTCGTCTTTTGGTTATGTTCTTTTTAGTAGTTTAGGAATAACTATAAAATTAATTTATTTTTTATTCGTTGACTACATAAAATTAGCAATGGCTGCATTGTCATGTCAACGTCCGGCTTTAAGTTTGTGATATACAGATATGCAGTGTCAGGGTACGGCCACAGTGCACGCAGATTCAGAATCAGATTCAGACTCAGAATACAAGCGCGAGAATGAAACAGTGTAGTTTAAGCAGGGTGGCCATAGTGGCAGCAGGCAACGTGCTTAAACTACACTGTTTATTTCTGGCGCTTGTTTTCTGAGTCTGAAACTGCGTGCACTGTGGCCGTACCCTCATATCCTAGTCTCATAGTTTGTTTTACCTACATAAGATTGCAATCAACCGATGTAATTGATTACATAATTGCAGGCGACTATAATCTGCCCACTCTGCAGTGGCGCGACAATGGAAATTATTGGGAACCTATTCTCACAAACAACTGCAGTTTAAGTAACAAACTCTTCATTAATTTTATATCCGCATTTAATGGTTTTCAAACAAATATTTATAAAAATTCAAGAAACCGACTTTTAGATTTATATCAAAAACGCATCAGCAACGCGAGCTCCTATCCCGCTTGCTGGGACGGTTGATGACAACCACCCACCTTTTTGTACTTCTCTCTATCAATAATAACATATCGTCATACAAAAGTAAACCAAGAGTAGTATACAACTTCAAAAAAGGTAACTATGACTCGTTAAATGCTGACATTACAAGAAATGACTGGGAGGGTTTGTTGTCAAAGTGCAACGCAGAAAGTGCAGTCTGTGCATTTTATGAAAGCATATTTAATCTTATTAAAAAACATATTCCAACTAAAACAATAAAATCGTCTCAATTTCCAGTATGGTTTACGAAAGCACTTATACATATATTTAAAAACAAAAATGATGCATGGATTAAGTGGAAGAAATATAAAAACTGCAGTGACTATGTACAATTTTCGATGTACAGAGCCCGTTTTAAACTCCAATCTAGAAAATGTTATAACACCTACATGGAGACTGTTGAAAGTGGCATTGAAAATAACCTGAAGTACTTCTGGACTTACGTAAATAATAAAAAAGCAGTTGCTAGTATCCCGAGCCGAGTCTCCTACGATAACATTATTGCTGACGATCCAAAGAGGGTCTGTAATTTATTCTCGTCATTTTTTGAATCTGTCTTTAAACCTTCAAATTTAACTACTGATTTTAACGCAAGCAACACAAAAAAAAAGTTATGGCATCTCTCTTAGTAATATCACCTTTACTGTCGAAGAAGTTTCTAAGAGTTGTGTAATTTGGATGTCGCCAAGGGCCCTGGTGTTGATGACATACCGGCATGTTTTCTTAAACTTACCGCTAAAACGCTATGCTATCCAATACAATACATTTTTAACAAATGTCTCAAAGAAGGTGTATTTCCGGCTATCTGGAAAGTTGCGCGTATTGTCCCTGTATTCAAGGGTGGTGATAGGACTAAGGTCGACAACTATCGCCCTATATCCATATTGTGCACCCTGTCGAAGATTTTTGAAAGGCTAGTTCACAATAGTATATATCCTTCTTTACATAGTATTATCATTGAACAGCAACACGGTTTCGTAAAACGCAGGTCAACAAGTACAAATCTTATGATTTATTTATCACATATTTTTGAGAGTATTGATGCTAATAAACAAGTAGACTGTGTGTATACTGATTTTAGAAAGGCCTTTGACAGGGTCGATCATAAAATACTTCTAGAAAAGCTGGCTTACAATGGCATCCATGGAGACCTCTGGAGATGGTTTAAATTATACATTAGTAATCGCACCCAGAAGGTCGTGATTGGTGGATATGAATCAGATTATGTGCAAATAACCTCAGGTGTACCGCAGGGCTCCATTCTGGGTCCATTACTATTTGTTTTGTTTATAAATGACATACATAACTGCTTCCAGTTTTGTGATTATCTTCTCTACGCAGATGATCTGAAAATTTACCATATAATTGAAAACCCCGACGATCACCTTAGGTTTCAAACGGATCTAGATAAATTAGCTGACTACTGCAATAAAAACAAATTGGATTTAAGTATTGCTAAGTGCAAATCCATCACATTCACCAAAAAAAGAAAACACAGTCACTACAATTACACCTTATCTGGTATGCAGCTTGAATCAGTTCAGTCTATAAGAGACCTTGGAATACTGTTGGATTCCAAATTACATTTAGATTTACACATTTATAATATTGTAAGCAATGCATTAAGGATGTATGGGTTTATAATGCGTATTAGTAAAGATTTCACAAAGATCTCGACTAAACTGTGTTTGTACAAGTCTTTGATACGATCACAACTGGAGTATTCTGTACCCATCTGGAATCCTTATTACAATAAATATATTGAGGCAATCGAAAGGGTACAGGAGAATTTTTTACGTTGTATGCACTTTAAATGCTTTCGGGGTTTCTTAAACTACGACGAACTGCTCGATAGATACCAACTACTTAGTCTTAAAGATAGACGTACGTATCTTAGTGCAATAATGCTGTATGATTTATGTAATAACAGATATGATTGTGTAACCTTAATTAATAAATTATGTTATAAAGTACCCACCCGAACTCATACACGTACGCCTTGTCGGTTGTTTGCAACACCTCGATGTCGAACTAACGCAGGTAAAAGATCCCCCATTCACAGTTTGGTAAATTCTTACAACGAGATGTTTCATTCAATAGACATGGTGGCAATTGGTTCAAGTACTTTTAAAAAGATGTTCATTGCCAAACTTAGAGCATAAAAAATAACATATTTGATTTATGATAAATTATACTATAGTTTTCATTCATTTACCAAAATACTTGTAAACACCGTTAGATTTCTGAATTTAATCAAATTTAATTTGTTTCTTTATTAATCAACATTTTTTAGTGATACTTAGAATATCACCACACTCAACGCGGTTTTTAATATGTTTTTTATATATAAGTGGTAAACGGTGCTGGTTTCAAAGTTATGTATCTAATCACCAATACTGAATTGTTATGTACTTACTTTGTAACTGTTTGTTTACCCAAATAAATAGAAAAAAAAAATTGACAGAAACCAAATATGTAGATGCCAGAGGTTATCTTCAAATGTTTTTTTTGCTCTTCCCTCTGGGTGGCGTTTGAGAGTGGTCGTGTGTCTGGTTACTGTGCAATAAATATTTTAAGAGAAATAATAAATAGTGAGAGGTCCGTTTGGGGCATCGGACCAGTGTCTGTGATTAGAACTTGCACGCCCCTCGAGCTCCAACTATGTCGCGTTGTTGAGTTGCCGTCTCGGCTAAGAAGTTATTAACATAAGCAGCGAAAATAAACACCCGATACGGAGCTGTGCTACGAAGCTGCAACTACGGCGGACTACGACGTACTACGACGTGTACTCGAGTGCTACGATTTCTTTGAGGCGTAATAATATGGTTGACTCAGAGATGTCAGTTTGTCTCTCTGATGATGATAAAACACCGCCTAATTTCATCACACAGCGTGTACAAAAGACAACACATCAATCGGACAGCTCACAATACGATCAGTTAATGAAAAATCATAAAAAAGAAATACGGTCATCAATAAAGAAATAGAATCATAAAAATGTTGGAAACACTTGCAACAAAACAAGCAAAGGAACTTAGTGAGCTTAACTCGACACTTAGGGAGGTCCGTCAATCAAATCAGAATATTGAAAGTTCACTCACACTTTTAACCGCTCAAAATGATGAGTTTAAAAAACAAATTCTATCGCTACAAAATCATGTACAGGAAGACAGAGAGTACATAATGTCCTTGGAGAATAAGTTGGAGGAACTGCAGGTGTCATCACGGAAATCAACATTCGAGATGAAAAATGTACCTAGAAAGGAAAAAGAATCTAAAAAAGATTTAATTGACATGGTTATAAATCTGTCGGAAGCTGTGGACTGTAAAATTTCTAGAAGCGATATAAAGACATATACAGGGTACGTGCAAAGAAGCCAGAGCAGAAAAAT